TTGAAAACTTGTAAGCCAGTCACTTTTTGCCTTTATTGCCCCCCAATTTTAGGTAGCCAATGTCTAAGTTGCCTGTCCCTATCAATCCTGAATATTCTTTTCCAGTGCACATGGAACATTCTCCAGAATAGACCATATGTTAGGCCACAAAGTAAGTCTCCATAAATGTGAAACCATCCAAATACTATAAAGCATCTTCTTAGATCACAGTGCTATAAAATTAGAAATCAACAATGGGAAGAGGAAGGAAATAAAGTCATATACCTGGATACTGAATAACACTTTGCTTAGAATGTTCCCGGGTGACAGATTTGTGTGGAAAAATGAGTTTGATTTGTATTTTAAAAAAAGACCTTGAGAATGTTTCACTTCTAGTCCTTGGTTTGCGTCTGAAGTGCCAGGGCACAGAAGCTGTGCCACACTTTAGGAAGGTTGTGGAACGCTGAAGGAAACACTTTTGTTCACATTGTTTGAAATAGCAGGCAGTGCCCAGAGTCTTACACGGGCTTGGGAGATGCGCTCCGAGGGGACTAATTGAAATGATTCATATTCTTTGAGCAAGAGACCCTGCACTTTTATTTTACACCAGAATCAAAAACCATATCAGTTGCTGAGTCCCAACTTGTGGGGATTCAGCAGCTGATTTGGTGAGAAGCCCTTAGCTGGGTGAGGTGGCCTCTCTTCCCTCAGTCAGACTGTGGGGACGTGCTGGCCACTGAGGGGGGCGCCAGGCCACCGCCACCTCCCTGGCAGAAGCAGGTCAGGGCTGTCGCTGCTGCCACTGAAGGAAGTGTAGATTGTGTTAGGACTCAGACTTCCTGGGGACCCCAGTCCCTTTACTTAAAGATGAGAGAGCAGAGCCAGGGAGCAGATTCCACAGGCAGAGAGGAGCTGACATGGGGCCCCAGTTCTTAGAGGAGGGAACTGTGATCTGGGGGAGGGTGTCCTACAGGGGACCTGAGGGGCTCTGTGGATCAGTGGGCAGAGTTGCTGAGGCCCCCTTGCCAACACAGCTCCCACCTTACCATCTTCTAGATAGTCTAGCTCAGCCCCTTGTCTCATAATAAACTGAGGCTGACCGGAAGGTTCTTGGGGTCCAGCTCTGGCTTCTCTCTTTGGCTGTGCTCCATCCTCATGAGCACCTGGGAGAGGCAGAGAGGCAGACAGTGGTCATCACCACGCACTGGGCTCCACTGCCCGGCCTGTAGAGGGAATCTGGTCCTTACTCACCATCACCAGTGAGCTGCTGTGTCCTAGACTGAGATGGGAGGCTGGCCTTGGAGACAGGAATGGTTCTGAGCCCCTTGTGAGGGCCCCTCCTGTGGCGGAGTTGGAGGGAGGGCAGCTCTGAGACCCCTGTGCTCACTCCGTCCTGTTTTGTTACAGGGGATGAAGATTTTCTTCATGGTGGTGGCAGCCGTGTATATCTTATACCTTCTGTTCCTGATTGTGCGGGCATGTTCTGAGCTCCGCCATATGCCTTATGTAGGTAAGCACCCCTTATGTAGGCTTTGTGATGGCCTTTATCTCCTAGAGCTGAGAAAGGTGTACAGAGAGCTCCCATCCGCCCCTGTCCAGTCCATAGTTCGCGGTAGGGGTCACTCAGCTGTACAGGCCTGTGGGTTTGGACAAATGCCTGATGTCCTGTGCTTGGTAGGAGAGCTGATGGGTTTGGACAAATGCCTGATGTCCTGTGCTTGGTAGGAGAGCTGACTGGGTCCCACCTGTCCATTCCTCCTCTCCCATCAGCCCTTGGCAGCTACTGATCGTCGGTTGTCTCTCTAGTTTCCCTGCTTTCAGAATGCCCTGTAGTTGGAATAACACTGAACTATTAACCACAAGGTTGCCAGTTCAAATCCACCAGCCGCTCCTCAGGAGAAGGATGAGGCTGTCTGCTCTGTGATGGTGTCCAGGCTCAGAAACGCTGGACAGGGATGAGTCAGAAGCCACTCGATGGCAGTGGGTTGGGTTTTTGGTTTGCAGTTTTCCCGTTCCCAGAATGCCCTGCAGTTGGACTCATCCAGTTGCATTCAGACTGCCTTCTTTCATGCTGGTTCCTCCAGGCCTTTTCCTGGGGGATAACTCATTTCAGCTGATTCCTGAATCATACTGTGGTGTCCGGATGGGCCATAGCTTATCTGTTCACCTCTTGGAGGACATCTCAGGGCCTCTGATTTTTGGAATATCTGCATTTAAAGTGGGTTTCACCCATCCTTCTCCTCCTCCCCCTGTCCAGTCAGGAGTTGATATCACGTGGGGGAGGGTGTCTGGTATTGACTATGTCATCATCTCGGGAGACTCAGAGGTTTGTCCCATGTCCCACAGGCTGGGGACCATGTCTGATGAGCCCCTGTGGACCACTGGGCAGTGCCCAGGGACAGCCCTCGAGGGAGGGCTTTGGGCCTGAGCAGCCAGCAGGGGTGGAGAGTTGCCTGATCTCCCCTGGTCGACCCTTAAAGGGGAGCAGCAGGGCTGTTTTCTGTCTTTGAGTCAGGATCTTTGCCCCCCCGCCCCATCATCACAGCCTCTCTGGAAACCTGGTCTTGAACCGGGTGAGGTGGGGCAGCATTCCTGGGCTCCAGGTAAAACCAGAGGTTTACAGTCCAGAGGAGAGGGTGTTTATTCAGGGGATTTTGCATCATTTTTGGTTTTACTCTGACAATCTCTGAGGTGAGAGGGGACTTGCCTCTGAGCTAGTTAAAGGGATGACTGTCTCTCTCAGACCTCAGGTTAAAATTCCTGACCGCGTTGACCTTTGTGGTGCTTGTCATCAGGTAAGAACTGATCTCTCTCTCTTTTTTTTAAAGTCTTTATTGTGATTTGAGTGAAAGTTTACAGGGCAGATCATCAGTCTTACATTCAACAAATCATATACTTTGTTTCATTACAATGATTACAATCCCTTCCATGTACCATCATTTAACGATATCTCTATTCATTCTAGCTTTAAAAAATTTTTTTTTAATTTAAAACACTCAGGCATATATAATAATTTACACCACCAAAGGGCATATTCTGCAAGCATGTGTCCTGGCTGCTAGCTCTTAGTCCCTCTCTTCCCATGAATCTAGAGTCCTCAGCTGCTCCCTGTCTTCATGTCCCCATCTCTGCCTCCATCTCTGGTGTCATTGCTTCTCTGGATAGGGTCCTGCATTCCGCTTGTGCTCTTCTCCCTTGATGGTCCTAGGGTCCTCTGTTTCTGGACTGTAAGATTAAGTACTCCCCTGTTTTTGTTACAAAACTTTTACCTTTACAATTGTGACAGTTGCAATTAGTCATGATAACAATTACTCACTATTGAATCATAAGAATCTTATCCCCATCTCTTTTTAATAGACCCATCTAGACAATATGAAAACTATTCAGTGGGGACTTCTGCCTTCCGCCACACACTGTTGTTGTTTTTTTTTAAAGAACTGATCTCTTGAAAGAAGCAAAACTAAATTTTGATCGACTGCCCTAAATCTCTTTTCCAAGACCTAGCTTTATACTCCTGAGGTCTGAGGGCCTCTCGCCCAGGGTGGGAGGTGCAGGAGGTGATGCTGTCAGTGGAGCAGCCAAGACAGCAACGTTGACTGTCCGTGTCTGGGGTAGAGAGCGTTAAAGCGAGCTCCCGTTCACCACGATGCCCCACCTGCTTGGCACAAGACTTGAATCCGAGTCTGCGGGTGAGGAATCCATGAGAGGAGCTGCACCTTGGCATCCCTTGGTGCTCCGAGGGCCTATGAGCACGCAGTATTTCCATTTCAGTTCCATCCAACAAATGTCATTGGAGCTACCCTGCTCGTGATCTGGTTTGGAGGTGCTGTGCCGGCAAGGAAGGCCCTGCATGAAAACTCCGTCTGGTGGGCGGCCGGGTGGTGGGTGTGGCTGATGGCACTGGCTGCATGCAGGACTGGGGGTGCTGGTGACCGAGGAGTTGAGTGGCCAGGGAGGTTGTTTCCATGACCAAATTCTAGATGATCGTGGGTATTTATGGGTTCTTTCTAATAAAGTGTGGAAAGCCAGTCTGGTTCTCTGCAATTCTCTTTGATTGCTTCTCCCTTTGGATGACAAAAAGTGGGTTATCAGTCTGTCTCTTCTGCTGGGAGCCACTGGCACCCGGTGTCTGTGAATGGGAGGGAGCGGAAGGAGCCCACCCAGCCCTGGTACATCAGGCAGATTGAGAACCCAGAAGCCGGGGTTGTGTGGAGTGAAAGCGTCCCTGCAGCATGACTATCAAGTTACATGAAGCGCCTCCTGTAGATTTGTTTGATCCATTGTCTCCCTCCTTCCTTTTTTCAGCATCATCATCCTTTATTTGAGGTTTGGAGCACAAGTTTTGCAAGATAATTTTGTAGCTGAACTGTCAACTCATTACCAGAATTATATCCTTTCACTGGAGACCCTGGCTCTAGGACACATGTCCTTACCACAGGAATAGGTTTCAGTTAGTGGGAATAAAATAAGGCAGGCAGTTGTCTGTTCTCTGGAGACCCAAGGGCACTCTTAGTTTGAAGGCAGACCCTCGGTGATTAGTTTGAAGGCAGACCCTCGTAGTTCCAGCTGGGACAGCCTGGTGTGGGGAGGGGGTGGAGACATGTCAGGTACTCTGAGGCAGAGCCTGGTTCCAGCCTGGGGGTCCAAGGACCACAGTGTCTTCATGTAGTAGGCTGGACAAGACCTGGTTGGGTGTCTGTTCCGGAGCGTGGCTTCCCTCCTGCTGTTGCCGGGGGTGCTGAGGCCGCTCTGCCTGGGGGTCGGGGGTTCGGAGGAAGTGATAACTGTGCAGCGGGAACTGCACTGGGCCTCGGCTCCCTGGGAAGTGACACACACATGCCTTCATTTTTCTGTGACTACCAGTTTCACACCGAGTCTAGCAGCTTCCCAAAGGGTCCCTTTTCCAGAAGAGGTTAAGAGCACCTGGTTTGAGAGTTTTCTCTCCAGTATCTACGGCCTGACTGTCTTTCGCCTGTTGCTTGGACAGCTTGATCCCTCCAGAAGCTGGTGGGATGGGTGGAAGAAGCACCTCCAGTTGCCTTAGGGAGCCCGGGTCTCCAGGGAGGGTGCCTGCTTCCCACTGATGGCAGATGCCAGGCGTCATCTGCGGGTGACTTTGGACTGCAGGCCTGACTGCGCTACAAGGGTCACTCTGGCCCCGTGTGTGCGCCAGCGAGAACTGCCTGGTGGGTAGAAAGAGCTAAGGCCCCTATGGTCCCGTATGTGTGGTGTTCCCTTGACAAGTTCCACCAGCCGAATTCTTATCTTTCTACGGCCTGTTGAACTTTTATCTCTACACTCTGGCCTTCGTGTACTCCCCATCCAAGAACGCCCTGTACGGTGAGTCACCCGGAGTGTGGGCAAGGACAGGGAGGCACCTGTGTTGTCATCAGTTCTGGATGGTGTCATGTGCCCTGCTGAGCACCATGCCATGACCAGGCCCTCCCGCACAGGCATGTCTAGAGCTGACGTGGGATGCTTTACGGCAGTGCCTGGCACCATGTGTTAGAATTGACTGGACAGCTGTAACATTAGCTCCCGCTTCCGTGGGAGCGGTTTAATGGCCAAGGTGGAATCAAGTCTGTTCATAGATGACGAAATCCAGCAAACCTCGCTGGGAGTTGAGCTGACAGGTCAGGGTCCCGAGGCCTCAGGTGAGGGAAGGTGACTCCGATTGTGCTTGTTGTGTGTTGAGTGTATGCCCGCCCTGCAGCCCAGCTCGGCCCAGCTCCAGGAGGCCTCCCTGTTAGTAGATGGGGAGATGGACTTGAGTCTCAGGTTATTAAGTGAGGGGGAACTGGGACAGACCCCCACTTTCTTCAGGACAGCCTCCTGCCTCCTCAGGCTGGTGATACGAACTGCTTGAGATAGAAATGCTCTTGTTGAATTTCAGAGTCCCAGCTGAAAGACAACCCCGCCTTCTCCATGCTGAACGACTCAGACGACGACGTCATCTATGGGTGAGTGAGAGCCGTCGGGACTCCTTCTAAAATACCTTGTGAGGCCTGGTAGCATTTCTCATCCCAGGCTGGGCCGAGTGATCACTGCGTTCATGCTCTGGCCAATCAGGCAGGCTGGGCCTTTACCTGATGATGTCCCGGGGTGGGTGGAGGCGAGGGCCGGGCTGTGGGAGACAGGCTGGTGTCCCGGTCTCTCTTGTGACAGGAGCGATTATGAAGAAATGCCTCTGCAGAATGGCCAGGCCATCAGGGCCAAGTACAAGGAGGAGTCGGACAGTGACTGAGCGGCCTCACTGGTCAGCAGGATTGCCGGCCCGCCCCTTTGTCTACATAGCTTAAAAAGGAAACCCCCAACCCAGGGCACACTGGCAGGCTGGCCTCCGCATGTGGAGAGAGACGCCCATAAAACCTTCCATACTTTTTTTTTTTTTCCTTCAAGACTTTGGGTGGAAGATAGCCTGTTTCCACAGCGAGGGGATGACCCATTTTTGTAGAGAATTATGTATTTAGTTTCTGGTGACTGACTAGTTCTGATGGGGTCTTTCCTCCTCCCCCTCAGAGGGGACTGTCTGCTTTCCGGGTGCCACTGCGCCAAGGAGAGCTCGGAAGTTCTGTGATGGTGGGGCACGAGGCGGGCTCCGTGCAGGATGCCAGCTGTGGGCAAGCCTTGCTGCCATGCAGTTTTTCAAGGGTCATGTGTATACGATTGCACACGTGTCTGTACATATGTGTGTATGATTGAACGTCACCGAGGTAGGCTTGGGTTGGAGGGTATAATAGTCCCATTTCGATGAGTTGCTGCAACTCTGCTAAAAATCACTCCTTTGAGCTTTATTTTTAAAGAAAAACAAGGATTGTAATAATTCTTTATTGCTAACATTTTTCAATTTCTTAAGAGGGAGCGTTAAAAAGTTCCATGGATAATGGAGTGAAAAGATGATGGGCATTTTCCGTCAACTTTTCGAAAGTGTGTTTGGAAATGAACTGAAAAGAAAGCGAAGCCTGCTGAGTGGCTTCCGGGCACCTGGGCAGCAGGTAGACTGCAGGGAACCGTCCCCCTGGCACTTTGCACACGGCCGTCAGGTGGACAGATGACTTGCGGAGGTGCAGGCTGTCTCTTCCTTCCTGGTGAAGATGACATGGGAAAGGCTAGCTGTCTCCTTTGCTTTTCAGTGTCTGTCACTTGTAGGGTTGTCTAAGTTGGAAGTATTGTCAAGTCCAGGATGGGCTTGTTCCACGTTTTCCTCGTCTGTGCATGAAGTCCCTGGTGACCGTCACTCATAGCTGGGTGCCATTGGAGTTCATGTGAGACGAATCATGACCCCTCAGTCCCATTCCTCATTTCAGCCTCAGTGAGATGGACCGTTGCTATGAACTCCTCCCACACTACATGTGTTCTTCTCAAGAAAATGTTGTAAATATCAATGTTTGAATTGCAACTCTATTATTACCAGGGTAATTCAAGTTTACATCATTTTTACATTTCCAGCATTGTGGTTCCTTTTTTTGATTCTGTGTACTCAAAAGGTATTGGGAAAATTTTTTTCTGTTCTCAATTTTACAACTTCTAAGACTAACTATAAATAATTTTAGGTATTCTAATGAAGACGTGCTGATTAACATACTCAACTGTGTGATATAGTTTATACATTTTAATCATTGTAATAAGTAATTGTCTTTTATGATTTGGAATGCTATTATTTATCAGTAAATGTAAAATATATTTGAGACATTTAGCCATACACAGTACAACTCTGAAGTCCTGTCCTATAGTGTAATTATAAACTGAAGACTGATACCTTCAAAATTGATTCTTTATGGTGTCAAGTCAATTAAGGGAAAATACAAGAATATTTATTTACTTTTGTAACTAAGTAAACAAACAAAGGCACTTTTAAGGGGTAAGGGGCCTTTATTAAATCATACATTTTCACTTTCTATTCTCCAGTGTATTTATATAGTCTACATTGTTAAGTGCCATCGAGTCAGTTCCGACTCAGAGTGACCCTGTATAGGATTTCCGAGAAGTGACTGGTGAGTTTGAACCACCGACCTCGTGGTTCAAATTGACCTTGTGGTCCTGCACTTATCCTACAGCGCCATACTTAAAATGCATAGTAGCATTTAGCATTTAGAATATGTGCAGTAACGAGGTACGTTTAAACACTTAAGGTTTGCCAGAAACTTTAGACAGTAGCAAGAAACAGGAAAAATAAAAATGGGAGGGAATCATCAATTTGCCAATGGACAAGACCAGGGTGCAGCCTGAATGGCATCTTGGGGACACTTTCTCACGCTGCTCTAGTATAGGGGACCGCTGGGCTTGATACAGTGAAATCATTACAACAGGGAGATAATGATTTCCTCTTGTCTAAGCCCCTCTGAAAAGGTCACCTGAAACACTGAAGGTTTGTTCAGTTGCTGCTGTTGCATAGTTACCGATGGAAATGAAAGATTCCTTAGGAAACGCCACCAGCCTCCTGGGCCCCTTGAACTATTTACACGGCGCAGTTATGTGAGACAGGTCCTAATAGGGTCATGACTTTTCCCCCCAGATGTCCCTCCCACAGGGAAGAGCGTAGAAGCTCGTAAAAGGGAAGATTTTTAAGGGACGTTTCAACCCTAACCCAGTGAAGGCTCGACAGCCAACATTCAGGTATACTGGTGTATTGTGAAGGCTTTGAAAACCAGTTGGGTTAGACTTTTTGTTTTGTTTTTTTAACTTTTACTGTGAATTTGGTGATTATGTTAGACTTTTGAGGGAGGGGAAAAAAATAGCACCGTTTCCCCCAGGCTTTCACTTGCGACATCTTGTTCATGCTGTTAATCTTGATTTAACGTGTTTTAGATATTCTGGTAAGTCTAATACCATACTGTGAAACACAGTTTTCTGTGACTGAAAACTGCCTTTTTACCAAAAGACTATACATATTTGTAAATAAAACAGGACACTCAATTTTCACGCTCAAAGGGAAGCTAGAGGAACCATCAGAAGCTGTGTGGAGGATGGGCGGGTCTGTCTGGACACTGCCATGAGGTCCAAGCAGGTCCAGGTCTGGTTAATGTGAATAAATTTTTAATATTCTCACATTTTTCTCTCCGGATCTTTATTTGTGTGGTTGTTTGAGTGTTTTAGGGAGAGGGTTTTAGAGTGAACGGCCTTTTGCCTTGGCAGGCAGACGCTGAATTGTGCCCGGTGGGCATGATGCAGGGCCTGAGAGCTGGGAGCGCCCGCCTCCCCTGCTGCTTGGGCGTGTTGACTGGAATTAAGCAGAGCCTCCAGACATATCGTTTTGTTTTTAAAACCGCACGGATGTTAGGGACATGAGATGAAGGGCTGAGAGAGAGAGCCTTTTGTAAATGAAAACGTACTGTACATTGCCCTATGGCAGATATGGGCCAAGCTTGGGGGAGGCCTCAAGAAGTCTGTGGAAAAATGGAATGAAAAGATGCTGGACTTTCTCCACCAATTTCCTGAACCCCCTGGAATGTGTGAGTTAGAGCACTCTGGTGGGAGATCCAGAGATGGGCTCAGCGCCGCCTGTCTCAGAGGGAGGGTGACAGACTCAGGAATGAGCACTGGAGGAGGTCAAGGTGGAAATGGCACTACCCAGTATCAGCATGAGGACTGACTCCAGGGAAACACAAACTTTAGGTTGGAATAATTTATTATTCTAACAAAAGTACAAAGTATGGAAAATTCGTGTATTTGAATTGTTTCAGAAGAGCAGAGAAAACTTTGTACTAGCAGAATTTAGTTTCAGCACCTTTGAGAAGAAATATTCAGTTAAGACATGTGGCAGCAGTTTCTGGCTCCCCGGGGAAGGGGTGGTCCAGAGGCTCCCTTGTGACGTTCACAGAGCGGTGCAGCCCTTTTGTTTTTTTACTCTATACGTTTGGAGAGTGCTAAGTACACCCAAAAAACCCTGCTTAGAAACAAAAAAGGTGTTCACTGACTCCGTGGCTGGTGGTGGAAGGTGGAACCGGAGGTGGAAATGCGCAGCAGGCGCTAGATGGACAGCCCGAAGGTGCTGACGATGCAGTACATGGTCTTGTTCTCCCACCGCACCGTGCAGCTCCCTGCGGAGATATCGCCAATCTGAGCCCTGGGGAAGCAGGGCTGGGTCCGGAATCGACCCCGAGGCAGTTTGGGGGCCTTCTGAGTTCCCATAAGGAGGTCACTGCGCTTTTTCACAGTGCACAAATCCAGGTTAGTGACCTACAGGACACACCAGAACTGCCCCAGAGGGTTTCTAGGGCTGCAGATCTTCACTGGAGCATTGGTCTCCCAAGGAGCAACTGGTGGGTTTGAACTGCCAACCTTTTGGTTAGCAGCCCAATGCTTAATGCACAGTGTCACCAGGGTGCCTGTAAAGCAAGCCTATTTACAACTATTTTTAAAGGCAACTGATGAACATGTATTCAGTGCCATGGACCGTTCCGGCATACACAGCCAAGCCAGGACTCAATGCAGCTGTGTGGTTTCCCAGGTCTCAGCAAGTTTTTCCTTTAACGGTGCAGTCACTCCTTTTACTGGAAAATACTAGTTTGCCTTCTCTGGCTTTGCTCTACCTCATAAAGGCAGTTTTATGAGAACGGAGCTCAGCACAAGCTCCTGGAGGACACTCTCCCCACCCACCAGCCTTCACAAGCTCTGGGGGATGTGCCCTTCCCCAAGCATGTGGCCTTACCGTCTGTGGAGCTGTCCCAGAAGCAAGAGCTGGCTGTGTGCAACCCGGCCCCGTTCTTCTGCATGATGACACAGGTTACTGGGATCAAAAGGACATGTTAGTTCAGCTGTGCCCCATGGTGACACCAACATCCCTTGGCCCATCTACAGCACAGGTGCACAGACCACGCAGCTGACACTCATGAGGACTTTGGGGGAAGCTTATCACGGTCCTTTTTCCTACGCTGGCCTGGCCTGTGCTCACCATGGGCCAGTGGACAAAAGCCTAACAGCTCCCCTCAGGAAGGGTCTCTGAGATAGACAGGCACCGCACAACGCCACCCCCAACGCCCTCGAGTCCTGCAGGACAGAGTGGGACTGACCACGGGGTTCAAGGGCTGTAAATCTTTATGGGAGCAGGCTGCCACATCTGCTTACCCAGCAGGGCTCCTTACTACCCTACTAGGTCTCCTGTTTACTGGCTCAGACAAGCCTCAGTGTGGAAACACCCCATCTCTGAGGAACACATGACCATTACCAATATATTTAAATGGCTTTCCCAGCTTGGTGAGTTGACTAAGCGTTTGCTCCACGACGTTTGTGGTCCACTGATTGACCTTGCTGTGTTGGTACGCGTTACCGCCAATGGCAGTTTCGATAGCCTGGAAGACAAAGCACAAAGGGGTCATAGTTGACGATGCCCCACACACCTTCCAGCTGGTGGAATACCAAGCATCAACTTCATTCTGATCAAAAAACACTTTGGCAAATGTCTCTACTGTTCAACATTGTTATGTAAAAAAAATGATAGTCAAATGATTTAAATATTTTGAGCCAGTAACTGGGCATCATGTTCACTGCTGCTGTGACTATTGGGCAGCATGACTTGGCTAGATGATACTGTTACTTTGCCTATCCCTTTCTTTGCTATGTAGATGCATTACAGTTATTTGTGGATTATCAATGTACAAAAATGCTGTTCTTCCTGGCATTTTCTGCCTGGTTATGATGGGAGGACCTGACGTGCCTGGGGGTCGGTGATGACTTGCTCTCCTCTCCCGCACTCTGTCTGCATGCCACCCACTCACCAGTGCTGTTAAGCCTCACAGGTCTCATCGCCCCGTGTGTGATTCCAGACCTTCTGGGATCAGCTCTCCCTTCCTGCTGATGCACAGGAGACTGGGACACCACAGTAAAAACACATTCTGTCCTCTGACATGCACAGGGTGTACCAGTCCCAGCTCTGCATTGTGCTTGGGGGGGAGGGGGGGGGTTCCAGATGTACAGGCTCACGCCCTTGCTCTGGAGGGACACCTGGACTCTGCCCGCAGCTTCTCATGGTCACATTGCGACGACAGAGAGCGCCTCCTTAGTTTAGCCCCGTGCAGTCAGCCTTTGAGTTTGGCCAGGTGTGGCTAACCAGGTGTGTCCAGGGCCTGAGGCAGGAACTGGCCATAGTAGTTAGGCCTTTTTCCACAGTGACTAAAGCACAGTGGAAGCAGGCCGAAGGCTCCCTGACAGCTTCTAGTGCAGGATGACCAAGGACCTGTTCCTTCTCCCCCTCCCCCCCGCTGCTCTCCACGCTCCTGGCACTTGTCCGGCAGTGGCACAGAGAGGCAGAGGGCCCTGGTGTGAGGGGCCATGTTCCTACTACATCTGCGGTCATCAGAGGGGAGACTCACACCAAGTCTCAGTCATTCCTCTGTAACACCGAGCCTTTCTTTGTGATCCACTGCTCAACTGTACACGTTGGCAACTCTTCTTTGCGTGCGCACATACATGGGCATTGTTTTTCAGGGAGGTAGACGACCTTCCACTTTTGGACCCTCACAAATGCACTGCTGATCAATACTTAACAACTGTCTGAGCCCCAAAGCAACATACTGCCAGAGCAAAAGAGGGCTTCGTGGCCAGTGATGCAGGTTAGAGTCTCTCTGTGAGGTTCCTGCACACTGCCAGGTAAGCCCAACTGTACCTGCAGTCTGGTAACAGGGTCAACCTCAGGTAGCACACCAGGAGGCTTCTCTGGCCCTGTCTTCACAGCTGTAGCTGACTTAATCCCTTTGTGTTTCAATCAGAAGCACGATTTCTGCAAAGCACCCCGCTAAGCCGGATGCTGACTGATGTGCTGACTGATGTGCCTGGTGAAACCGCTTTGCACTTAGCTCCTGTTCACAGAAATGGGCGGGGCTTCCTCCTGAGGCTGCCCAGTGGAGCCAATGTTCAGCGTTCATTTGCACTGGCTGCAGTTAAGCCAATCCTAAATCACCAGGGCCCCATGGTGCTGCTTAAGTGGACCATCCAGTGCCAATGCTGACACATCCATGTCCCTCTTGCTCTTCCACAGATGGGAAGCTGACCAGGAGAGCCCTTGGCTCCCTTCTTGACCCTCTGCACGCTGCTCCCCGGCCTTAAATACACTTCATGCTCTCTTACACAGTGCCTTTGTACACACTGCCCACCTCCTGGGTGGTCAATCCTGTTGGAGCCAAGTTAACTCTACTCCCACTCATTCTGCAGATTTCAGCTCTGGGTGGACCCTGGAGTCACCAGTGGGTCTGATCTTCCCAGAGTGTTCTGAGCACCATGCGCTGTGGCCTTCACCACACAGGAAGCCCAGTGTCCTATTTCCCAGTGTAGGATTTGGTGTCTGACCCCGAGCCTGTACTGCAAGCTCCTTGAGGACCAGGCCCTTGTCTACTCTGCTCCCAGTCAGCCCACTGTGGACTCCCTCCACAGAGATGTGCTGAATGAAGAACAAATGTCCCTTTTTGTCACCCGCCCTCACTGAAAGGAATACCCATGACCAGTGACAATAACGTGGATAGTTTAGGATAAAAGAAAAATAAAAAACCAAAGCAGCCTCAAAAGAGATCATTAGCGTAATTTCTGCTTTTTTAATACTCCTTCTTTCTTCATTAAACAATAGAGACATTTGTTTGCATGCCAGGAGTCTAGGCTACAAGGTTATGGAATTGCAGTAACATTCAGGAGTACTGCTACGGATGTTAACATTTCCTGTCTGCTTTAAAATATATAATTTACATAATATGGGAGTCATTTGTATCTAGATACTCAAGTGGAGTAAATACTGTTATTTGAAATGCCAAAACACATGAGCTCGGTTGAAACCATTCCAAGACAGTATTTTAAACATATTATTTTCACTCATGTAAGCCATTAAACATCCAAGCATAAGCATTTCTCCTCTTACCTCTTTTACAATGTTGCTCACTTCATCGACAACAAACGCGGTCTGTGAACACACACACAAAAAACAGGTTGTTAAATTTGATGTGCTTCAAAGATGCTTCCATTGCATTGAATGCAAACGTGGGAGGTGGTTGTTAAGTGCTGTGCACAACTACCCTGTCTGGGGTTTCCGAGGCTATAAATCTTCATGAGAAGAAAGTCTCATCTGTCTCCTGAAGAGCGGCTAGTGAGCTTGAACCACCGAACTTGTGGTTCACACAGTCCAGTGCTTGTCCTTTCGACCTCTGACCAGACTGTTCCTTTCACAGAACACATCCTGGGGGGAGGTGGGGGAGGAGGAAGGAGGTTGCTGGCGGTCACAGCAATAGGTGGGGATCAGTGGGCTGGAATACAGGGTGATATTTTAGGGGGATTGTTTTTTTTGTGATTGAACCATGCCACACCTGGAAAGACTAACTTCATTTTTCATTAGTGTTGTTATTGTACAGAAGCCATCAAGTCGGTTCTGACTCAGAGTGATCTTATATATATGGCTTCAGAGGCTTTATGTCTTCAAGGAAGAAGAAAGCCTCATCTTTCTCCCACGGAGCGGCTGGCAAGCTCAAACTAGACCTTGTGATTCGCAGTCCAATGCTTATCGTATGGAGCCACGATGCTCCGTAAATGACTATGTGGTTGTTGTTAAGTGTCGATGAGTTGGTTCCAATTCATAGCAACACTCTCTAGGGTTTCCGAAGAACAGTTGGTGGGTTTGAACTGGCGACCTTGTGGTTTGCCTACAGCTCCTCTCCAGGAGCGCAAACGTGTATAATGATGTGTAAATGGAACGGAGACGTCACCAGGTCCCTTTTTTGCTAATGGAATGTGAGGGTTGGGGCTGTTTCTGTTACTGCTCTTGTTGTTAAGTTCTGTGGAGTCAGTTCCAACTCATAGCGATCCTGTTCAGGGTTTCCGAGGAGCAGCTGGTAGGTTTGAATTGCTGACCTAGCAGTCAGCAGTCCATGCGTTATCCTCTTAGTGGTAAAATTTCCAACGGTTACATGACTTCCTGCTCATTCTTACTCTGCCTCAATGCCTGATGGTCAGGATGAGGTGGGAGGCAGCTGCCAGGGATAAGCTGTGTGCAGAGTTTTAAAATGGGGTTCTTTTTTCTTACATACAATAAATGTGTATGGGTCAGAATCCTTCTAAAAGTTACATTGCTCCCCCTGCCCCGCCACCCCACCCCACCCCAAATGCTCCTGTTTACAAAGAAGGGCTGGAGGCTGAGGCTGAGTCCCAGGGAACAGCACTCCAGTGTCCAGGGCACACGGCCTTGTGTTCTCCGCCCTGCTGTGCTATCCCATTGTGGGCACTGTTCCTCCCAGGAGTGATTGGGGAGAAACTCTTTTTGGGTGTTGTGGTAATACCCCTTCTCACAGGGCGCAGGGCTGACCTAGTGTATCAGCTGCAGTATCACAGGTGGTCCTACTTAGGGCCAACACCAACCCATCCCCCTGAATGCAACGCTGCGGTGGAGCCTTAGAGATGACATCATTCCTGGCTCCTTACCAGTGACTCCGGGAAGCCCTATATTGGGACAGTTCCTGGAAAACTTTCCTTATGGGCAGTACAGGTGGTTAAAATTTGATTATTAGCCAAAAGGTTGGTGGTTCAAATGCACTCAGAGATGCCTTGGAAGAAAGATCTGGTGATACGCTTTTGAGAGACCATAGTTTTGAAGCCCCTGTGGAAGTGCTCTGCTCCGCACACCTGGGGTCTCCCTCCGTGAGTCAGTGCTGACTTGATTGCAACTTCTTTGAACAATGGAGCCCTGAGGTGATGCTGTCAGTTAATGCGCTGGACTGCAAAGTCAATTTGAATTGTGAAGTTGGTGGTTCAAACCCACCAACTGCTCCTCAGAAACTGTATACAGGGTCTCTATGGGACGGAACCGAATCAACGGCACTTAACAACTATGAACAATAACTGAAGGATGAGCAATGTTGAGGGACATTTTAATGACCTGCAAATGAGATACTGCATGGATGGGCTCAATCACAAGTGAGAGGCCCACAGGGTCACCAGAGTCAGAACTAACAACGCCAGCAGTTGTACGGAACCACCAGTGTCCATTTATAGAGAAAGGCTGAAGTAGGGAATCGAGTTGCAAAAGCTCAGCTCCATGAAGCTGGAGGAGATGCGTAAAAGGCTGGGAGGACTGGCATAGGCATTTAGCAACTATCCATGCCTGCTACAAGACAGTGTGAGACAGACCACACCGCTCTGGGATCAGGAAGTCACCAGGCCCCTCACTGGTGACTGCACCAGGTATTAACAGCTTTCTCGCACACTGTTAATATTCCTATACTACAAATCGCTTTTCAGTATTATTATAAGTAAATGTCAGTAATAAGCTTTTCCTTTGCTAGGTGGCCCAGAACTGTGCATTCTCATAATTATTTACTTGGTTGCTGTTAGCATTCAAATCTTCAATAAGGCCCTGCAGTAGAATGGAGTGGCAATCAGATCAAAGCGTTAACTGTAGATCAGTTCTTGTTGTCAAGTGCTGTTGAGTTAGTTCCGACTCCTAGCGACCCCAGACACAACAAAAGGTACCATAGCAGGTCCTACACCATCCTCACTACCGTCGTTAGGTTTGAGCCCAAGGTTGCTGCCACCGTGTCAATCCGTCTCCTTGTGGTCCTATTTGCTGACCCTCAAGCATGGAGTCCTCCAGGGACTGGTCCCTCCTGACAATGTGTCCTAAGTACGTGACACTCTTGCTTCTAAGAAGGATCCTGTGTACTTCTAAAGACAGAGTTCCTTAATTCAAAGGCTTCCTTATTCGCAAGCGCCAGGCATCGACGCATAGAGCAGTCCTCAAACACTCCTGGCCCTACTGTGTTTTAAAAACGGGGAAGAAGCATCTGACCTTACTAAATTACCTCCAGCCTTTTATTTTTGACAGGCAGCAAGAATGATGGAACATGAAGAAAAGGAGCAACCCCTCTCCCGCACCCCTTAGCTAGAGTCCCCAGCGCCCAGGAGACTGTAGGGGAGAGACGGCGAGGCGAGGCTAGACTAGGAGCTGCTTCTCTGCCGCATCCACGGGCACGCGAGGCAGCAAGACAAAGGCACCGGCCGGGTGCACCCGACCCGGACCCCGATCCGGACCCGGGAGGGGTGGGGTCGCTCGCCGTCCGAAGCGCGCCCGGGGGCCCGAGGAGGCCGGTTCCCAGGACCCGAGGGCGGCCTCTAGCACCCAGCGTTCCCGGCCCCACCCTCCTGCCGCGGGCGGTTGATTACCTCCTCGCTAGCCTGGTAGTCCTCCATCTTTACTCCTGCGCCGTCGCCTCCGCCTACCGGAGTGGAGCGCTTGCGCAGTCCGGTCCGCTCGGCGCATCCGGGCCCGCCTCCTGTGCACGGGATACGCCCGTCCCACGTGAAGGCCCCGCCCCCGCGCTAGGCCCCGCCCACCGTTGTCCCGCCCTGCCTCTCTCTCGCCTCCGGCGCGTCCTGGTCCGATAAGCACTTACTGTTAAGTGAACGGTTCAAACCCACCAGCCTGGGGGAGAACGATGAGCCTTTCTGCTCATGTTAAGATTTACAGCCTCGGAAACCCTAGACAGGGTCACTGAGTCAGAATCCATTCGATGGCAGTGGGTTTGGTTTTGGTTTAAGGTCCCATCCTACAGGGTCACTATGTCGGAATCTCCCGTTTTGGAGTCCATCCTGGAATTGGAGCCCTGGTGGCGCAGTTGCTAAGCGCTCGGCTATGAACTCGAAAGTCGGCAGTTCGAACCCACCAGTGAAAGACGCATCAGTGTGTTTTTGTAAAGATTTGCGTCGTCGGAAACCCCATGGGGCAGTCCTACTCAGTTCTACGGGTCACTCTGAGTCAGCATCCTCTCAACTGCAGTGGGTTTGGTGTCTGGTTTCCCCGGTCTTGGAGGAGGTGCTGGTTTCCATGGGAACCGCTGGAGCTACGGAACCACAGCAAGGAAAACACAACAAAGGCTCAAAACTGACCCGAGCTCCGCCCAGGGTGAAATGTGGATTTAGAATTTGGAATGTTTAGTTAGTTGAAATCTTCCTTTGGGGAGCCAACTTTTCCTTATAAATGAGAATGTTTGTTTAAGCACCATGAATAAAGAACAATTTGGATGACAACTTGTAAAATGCAGCACACTTCGTGGGCCTTACCGGGTATGAGCTAGACCTGCATAACTTGACTTGTGTAACCGGTTGCCCGGTCGGCTTTGACTCAGGACGCCCCCATGTGTGTCAGAGCATATCTGTGCTCCACAGGGTTTTCAGTGGCTGACTTAGATCGCCAGGCCTTTCTTCTGAGGTGTCTTTGAATGGATTCAAACCTCCAACCTTTCATTTAGCAGCTGAGCAAAATTAAGCATTTGCACCAGTTGTGGTCCAGAAAATCGGGCTGCTCCCAGGTCAGCTTGCCGCACTGAAGAACTTGAAGGGCTGCCTCGGGGGAAAGGGAACTTGCAAGGTTTTTTCCTTATATGACCTTCAGTTCAAGTCTGCAAAAACATCTTGCCCTATCTCTGTCTCCTTAGAAACCACAAGTTACATTCTTAAAAAGTCCTGCTTACTGCTTGCATCAGTACACCAAATGTTTTTTTACCTTTTTTCCCTGCCCCCAACACCTCCTTTTGTTATGTGTATATAATAAATGTGCTGAATCTAGGTCGGAGTCACAGCATCTCCATCAGAGTGCTGTGTCACACCTGGTCCCAACTTTACTTATTTCATTATGTGTCTTGTGTCTTCCTTTTTATCTAATCTCCCATCACCCCTGTTGTTGTTGTTGTTAAGTACCATGGAGTCTGTTCCGGCTCATAGTGACCCTGTACAGGGTTTCCAAGGCTGTAAATCTTTACGGGAGCAGAAAGCCTCATCTTTCTCCCATGGAATGGCTGGTAGTTTAGAACTGCCGACCTTGAGGTTAGCAGCCCGATTCGTAGCCACTACACTACCCATCACCCCTACTAGGGTTTAATCTCTGTGTGGGTCACAGAGTATAGCCACTTGTTGGATGCAGCAAACAAATATGGTGAAAGTATACAATCCTGACACACATCTTTCCTGATTTTAAAACACATAGCACCCCCTTGGTCTGTGTGGTCTATGTACACATTCCACATAGCACACTTAAGTGTTCCGGAATTCCCATTCTTCACAATGTTATCCATAATTTGTTATGAGCCACACAGTGAATAAAATACCGGTAAACATTTTTTTGCTATTCTCTGCTTTTAGCCAAGATCCAGCTGACATCAACAATGATGTCCATCATTCCATGCCCTCTTCTAATTCTGACTTGAATTTCTGGCAGAACCCTGGTTTGATGTACAACTGCAACGGTTCTCTAATTATATTCAGCAAAATTTGCATGTGATATTTATGCTATTGTTTGATAATTTCCACATTATGTTGGATCACGTTTCTTTGGAATGGGCACAGATAGGAATCTCTTCCAGTCTTTTGGCCAGGTAGCTGTCATCCAAATTTCTTGGCATAGACTCGTGAGTGCTTTGTCAAAACATCTCAAATGAATTCTACTTGCTGAGAGCAGTAATTCTGACTTTGTCAAACTGCAGATTTACTACAGATGGTCTATGGGTGATTGAGCTCTAACACATGTAATGGTTAAACACTCAGCTGCTACCTGAAAGATGACTATTTCAAACCCACCCGCTCATTCTAAAGAAGGAAGAACTGGAGATCTTCTCCCGCAAAGATTGCAGCCAAAGGAACCCTATGGGGCAGTTCTACTCTCTCAGTAAGTCACTGCTGCAGAGTAAAGTCCCCTCTGAGAAGAGGCCTCTCCCTTGCATTCTATGGATTTCCTTTACAGATTCTCGCCTCACATTTGGAGAGATATTTTTATATTTGTTTGTTCAGAGTACGTCTTCATCCAGAATCTGTGGTCCATTCAGGCAGAGTTTATGTTTTATTCACTAAAGTACCCTTGTCCCTCACATTGTACCTGGCACTTGTTGTTATGTGCTATGGAGTCCGTTCCAACTCACAATGACCCTGTACAGGGTTTCCGAGGCTGGAAATCTTTACAGGAGCAGAAAGCCTCATCTTTCTCCTGTGGGACAACTGGTAGTTTTGAACTGATGGCCATGAGATTAGCAGCCTGATTCTTAACCACTACACTACCAGAGCTCCTTGTACCTGGCACATAGTAGGTGCCCAATGAAAATCCATCAAATGAGTTGCTGTTGTTAAGTGTCATTGAGTTGTTTCCGACTCTTAGCGACCCTGTACAGGGTTTCTGAGGATTTATTAGCGAGTTTGAACCACCGAGGTTCAAACTGACCTATAGGTGAGTGCTTATCCTACACCGCCACAGTAGGACTTTGTTGAATTAAAGTAGTGGTTTCTAAAAGATGTTGGTTCTGCCCTTGACTCCAATGGGAGAGAGCTTGTGGGTGGAGGAAGATGTAGTCGTCTGCCCCCTTGTGGGCAACAGAGGGATGCCAACCCAGAGGGTCACCAAGTAGGGCTTGGTCTCCTACTTCTTGAAATTTATCTTTTATTACCTTCTTGCTATTTGGCTTTAATCCACCTGTTTCATCATTCTGTCTTGAGCCCTAATCTTTCATATCACTCTGCTTTGTACTTCTTCTCCTGTAGAATGGTTGGTGGGTTCAACTCACTGACCTTTGGTTAGCAGTCCAATGCTTAACTCATGGCACCACAAGGACGCCTCTTCAATCAGCTAAAAACATGTAAATGCACAGTCAAACATTTTTTACACTATTTTAATTTATATAGAATTGGTACTACTCCCTAACCTTTACTATCCAAGAACCTTGATTCCATCATCACGGTGAATAGCATTTTGAGTCTGTTTAATAAAAGGATGAGTTACCTTGTTTACTTTCAGAACAATTTGGTCATTGATTCAGCACACACAGATTGAGTGCTATGCTAAGGTTGGGGCAACAAAGTTAATTAAGATATGATTTCTTTGGAAAATTTTAAATTAAAAACTGATTTGAAATTTCTGGGATTAAATGAATGGATTAAAACTATGTGGATCATTCTTACAATGGAATACTACTCAGTCAGTAGGAGAAATGAAGTCTTAATAAATGCCAATTTATGGGTAAAGCTTGAAACCATTATGCTGAGTGAAATAAACCAATTGCAAAAGGACAGATGTTCTATGACCTCACTTATATAAAAAGGCAAATACACAGAGATCAAATATATAGTGGTTTCAGAGCTTGGAAGGATAGGGAAATGGGGAATTAATGGTGAAGGAAAAATCACATTAAGGGTAGGGTTGCATGACCAATTGTTGTAATTATTGTCAATCAGTTAGACACCTACAAAAAAATTGAATATGCAACACATGTGTGATCGATATTTTTTAAATAAACAAAGAAGAGTAGCTATTGAGGCTGCTAATACACAAACAACACCTCATGGAATTTGGTTCCTTGGCCTGGAGATTTAAAGTCATGGCAGCAGCTATGGGTGCAAGCGTAGCAGCGATTGTGAGGTTGGCCCAGGACTGGGCAGTGCTTTGTTCTGTTGTGTGTAGGGTCGCTGTGAGTCAGTACCGACTTGATGGCACCTAACAACAAATGCCGTCTAGTCGCTTCCGATTTATAGGGACCCTGGATAGAGCTTCCAAGGAGTGACTGGTAAATTTGAACTGCTGACCTTGGGGATAGCAGTCCAGTGCTTATTTATAGTGCCACACCATGACTCCCACATAAAACTTTGTTGTTGGTTGTTAAGTGCTGTTGGGTTGGTTCCGACCCACAGTGACCCTGTATAGGGTTTCCAAGGAGCAGCTGGTGAGCGTGAACCTCAGACCTTGCAGTTCAAACAGCCTTGCAGTCCAGCGCATTAACCTGCAGTTTTGCTGTCTGGTAGGATTGCTATGAGTCAGAATTCACTTGAGAGCAATAGGTTTGGTTTTGGTTTTTCTGTGTAAAAGTTAGTGGAATAAATCCGGGATTTATTTTTAGTTTGAGGTTACCCTGAGGTTGGCTAATGTTGTACGTAATCATCTTTCTTCCTTCATTGAGACAAGTCTTTAAAATACAAACTATTTAAAAATAGGAATTGGGATTGCCAATGCCTTTAGAAAGTGTGGTCTGAATAATCACAAAGGTGTCCTGGTGTGGCGCTGCGGGCTAATGCACTAGACTGCAAGGTCAGTTTGAACAGCAAGGTTGGCAGTTCAAGCTCACCAGAAACCCTATACAGGGTGACTATGAGTCGGAACCAACTCGATGTCACTTAACCACAACAACAATCATAGTAATGCATCATCAATGAATAAT